TATTATAAACACTCCTGATTATGATAAAAAACTAATTATGATAAACACAGCAGTTATGATAAACACTGCTGATTATAATAAACTACTGAACACAGCCCCCACCAACAACATAATCAATCTCTCAACCCAACCTCACCATTATTCCACTCCCTTCCCTCCACCACCCTCCTTCAACTGTCAATAATAATAATAATAATAATAATAATAATAATAATAATAATAATAATAATAATAATAATAATAATAATAATAATAATAATAATAATAATAAAGTGACTACCTCGTAGTGACAAAGAGGACTTTTAAGGTAACAAGATTAGTTTTTAAAGAAGGAAGATACAGAGATGGATACACAGAAATAAAGGCAGAATAAAGAAGGAAGAGGAACAGTGATGGATACAGAAGTAAAGTTACGTATAAAGCTGTAATAAAGAGGCTCCAGATTCAGGTCAATAAGAATAAAGCAGATAGAAATCATAAAGCAGTATGTAACTTTATTATTGCCACCTTTCTCTCAAGGGAAGCTTTATCAACATTGACGAGGCTCCTCTTGATAAAGCTCACCTTGATAAAGCTTCCCTTGATAAAGCTTCACTTGATAAAGCTCCATTTGATAAAGCTAACCTTCATAGAGTACCCTTTAATAGAATACATCTTGGTAAGGCTCCCTTTGATAGAGCTAGCCTTGGTAAAGCTCCTTTGATAAAACTTCCCATGGTAAAGCTTTCCTTGATAAAGTTAACCTTGATAAAGCTTTCCTTTAAATTACTCACCTTGATAAAGCTTATCTTGTTAAACTATCCTTTATAGAGCTCAACTCGACGAAAGCTTCCCATGTAGATGAATGGTTCAGAGAACCGACAAGTTGATAAATTAGACACATGTGCAGCACCTGGGTATCTTTATTTATCAAAGCTTCCCTTGATAAAGCTCATCTTCATAAAGCTCACCTTGATAAAGTTCCCCTTGATAAGGCTCACCTTAATGGAGCTCATTAAAGATACCCAAATGTTGCACATGTTTCTAATTAATCAAAGCTATCCTTGATAAAGCTCATTTTCACAAAGCTCACCTTGATAAGGTTCCACTTGATAAAGCTCACCTTAATGGAGCTCCCCATGATAAAGCTCCCCTCAATAAAGCTTCATTTCATAAAAAACATCGATAAACAAACTCCCTTGGATTAATAACCCTCCAGGGTTAAATAATTTTTTCTAGGCTTATCCTGGGTTAGTAAGCCTCAGTGTAGGCATAAAGCCACAGTGAATATCAAAATGGTATACAATACCGACAGGTTGGTAGGTAAGACACATGGGCAACAGTTAGGCAACTTTATTCCGAAACGTTTCGCCTACACAGTAGACTTCTTCAGTCGAATACTGAAAGTAGGCAGGAGCAGTAGAGATGTGAAGACGATGTAATCAGTCCATCACCCTTAAAGTCGAAGATTTGAGGTTGTCAGTCCATCAGCCTGTCGGTATTGTATACCATTTTAATATTCACCCTGTCAGACACTGCAACACAATGGTATCTTGGTACAGAAAACACCCTGGACAACTTCTTCAAGTGAGAATTGTTTAATCTGAGAGGGAAGTGACCTCTCAGTGGCTATTTTCTCACTACTACTACTCTGCACCTCTCCTTCCGACAGTATTTAAGTCTCCGCACTGTCGCTTGATCTTCAGATAGTTCCTGACTATGGAACTGAACTTCTCCAGGCTGATGGACTGACAACCTCAAATCTTCGACTTTAAGGGTGATGGACTGATTACATCGTCTTCACATCTCTACTGCTCCTGCCTACTTTTGTACTCGACTGAAGATGCCTACTGTGTAGGCGAAACGTTTCGGAATAAAGTTGCCTAACTGTTGCCTATGTGTCTTACCTACCATAAAACCACAGTGGCGCTTTGTCATCCACACTGGGGCTTTATCACCCACTATGGGTTTTTCTCACCCTCAGTAGGGATTTTATTGTAAACAGTGGAGCGTTACTGTAAACGGTGGAGCTTTATTGTAAACAGTGGGAGCTTTATTGTAAACAGTGGGAGCTTTACCGTAAACAGTGGGGGCTTTATTGTAAACAGTGGGAGCTTTACCATAAACAGTGGGGGCTTTATTGTAAACAGTGGGAGCTTTATCAGCTGACTTGAGACTCACACATAGAATAGGTGCAAGGAACTTTATGAGTTGACACCTTAACGAAGGTTCCCACACCTTAACAAAGGTTCTGACACTTTAACTAAGGTTCTGAGACGTTAACAAAGGTTACGACACTTTTGACGAACGTTCTGGCACCTTAGCCAAGGTTCCGACGTTTTAACAGAGGCTCTGACACCTTTCACACATTAACCAATTTTATGACACCTTACCGAGGGTTCTGACACTTTAACGAAGGTTCTGACACCTTGTTAAGGTGTCAGGGTTCTGGCACATTAACGATTGTTCTGACACCTTAACAAGGGTTTCGACAGCTTAACGAGGGTTCTGACACTTCAACGAGGGTTCTGACACCTTCACTAGGATTCTGACAGCTAACGAGGATTCTGACACCATAACGAGAGTTCTGTCAATATAGCAAGAGTTCAAACACCTTAACGAGGGTTTTGACGAAGCTCACTCCAGAGATCTGTTAAGTCGGACACAACTCATTCTAAGGCTTCAGATCTGGTATTGATCTCTTCAAAGATTCAAATCTGACAGAGCTCTCTTCAGAGCTTTATCAAGTCTGACAAAGCTTACTCCAGAGCTTCCTCAAGCTTGACAAAGCTCACTCCAGAGCTTTAAGTTTGACAAAGTTTAGTCCATGGCTTCATCAAGTCTAATAAAGCTCACTCAAGAGGTTCATATAATCTGTCAAAACTCACTCCAGAGCTTGATATAATCTGACAAAGCTCACTCCAGAGTTCCAGGTCTTACAGATCTCACTGTATAACTTCACCAAATCTTGAAAAGCTCACTTCATAGCTTTATCAGGTCATATAAAGCTCACTCCAGAGTCTCATCAAATTTGACAAATCTCACTCCAAAACCCTAGCAAGACAAGGCTCACTCCAGAGCTTTATCAAGGCAGGCAATGCTCACTCCCGAGCGAAATGTCGTCCAAAGCAAAGCTTTGTCAAGCTCCCTGTGTATCTTCATACTAGCACGGACCCATACACACCCGAAACCTTTGCGAGTTTAGCGCTCAAACTGATCAAATCGTTACATAACCTCTAATATTTGAGAAAATTATATAAAAAACTCCAAAGATTTGCAACCTTGGCAATGGTCGAAGCTTAAAGGTATCCAAAGATTTGCAGCCTTAGTAATGGTGGAAATTTCAGTGATAGCAATCTCAAAATCCTTTGGTGCAGCTTAGAGGAGACTTGATCACAACATACAAGATACTCAGGCAGCAGCATGTGAAGGGAAACTGTTCCTCAGTGTCAGGGAACAGCAGCTTGAGAGGAGCAGTGGGAAGGACAGGGTGCAAATGATGGAAGAGAGAATATGGGAAAAAGAATTGAATTGGTAGGTGTAGGGAAGAGAATGGAGAAGAGGAAGATAGGAAGAAACGGAAGAGGAAGACAGGAAGGGGAGGAAGAGGAAAGCGGTAAGAGGGAGAGGAGAGGGGTGGAGAGGTAATGGAAGATAGCCTTGAGAGGGAGAGAGAGGGTGGGCGGAAAGAGAAAAGTGGAAAAGAGGAGAGGAAAAAGAGAGAAAAGGGGGAGAGGGAATGAGGGATAGGAAAGGATGGTGAAGAGCTGATGGAATGGAGAATATGCAGCCAAAAGAGGAGAGAATAGAGAGAAGTGTGGGATGGAGGATGTAGGTAGAGGAGACCATGGCACGGGGAAGGAGCAGAGAACAAAGAAGACCAAGAGACAGAAGAGCAAGGAACAGATTAGAAAAAAGAAAGAGAGAAAGAGAGAGAGGGGGAGAAAGAGAAAGAAAACACAAGGCAGAGGAGAAGAGAAAGAGACAGATCGAAAGAGTAGGTTCTGAGAAGCCGGGTAATAAATTAGCAACGAACGAAGAAGAGAGGAGAAGAGAAGACGTAAGGGAAAGAGGCAAAGGGAAAGATTAGGCAACAGAGAGGAACAAGGAACAAAGGAGAGAAATAAGGAGCAGAGGAGAAGAACAAGGAATATGTTAGAATAAGAGATGTGTATCATAATGTAAAGGAAGACACGAGAAGGAAGACTGGATATGGGAGAAGGGAGGAGGTGGGAGGATGGGGCAGTAAATGAGGGAGGAGGTGGGAGGATGGGGCAGTAAATGAGGGAGGAGGTGGGAGGATGGGGCAGTAAATGAGGGAGGAGGTGGGAGGATGGGGCAGTAAATGAGGGAGGAGGTGGGAGTAAAGACGTGGGAAAAGAGAAAGAGGTGATAGAAGAAACTGGAAGATGAACAGAGAGAAGAGAGAGAGAGAGAGAGAGAGAGAGACAGACAGACAGACAGACAGAGACAGAGAGAGAGAGAGAGAGAGAGAGACAGAGAGAGAGAGAGAGAGAGAGAGAGAGAGAGAGAGAGAGAGAGAGAGAGAGGAGAGAGCAGAGAGACAGACAGACAGACAGAAGACAGAGAGAAAAGAGAGAGAGAGAGAGAGAGAGAGAGAGAGAGAGAGAGAGAGAGGAGAGAGAGAGGAGAGAGAGGAGAGGAGAGGAGAGAGAGAGAGAGAGAGGGGAGAGAGAGAGAGAGAGAGAGAAGACAGACAGACATAGACAGACAAACAGATAGTTAAACAGACTAGATAGAGTCTATAAGCTCGAGTGTTTTACATTCAGATTCTTATTTCAGGAATATATTTCTTAAAGAGGCGATAAAGTTCTTGTGGATGAGAGAGAGTGACTTTCCAGGTGTCCCAGTTGTCGTGAGACTTGCGTCTATCCCTCATCCCATCCCACACGTCCCAACTCATGAGATGAAACAAGCAAGGAGGGTCACAGTTGCGTCATGTTGAGGAAGCCGGCTACACCAAGCCTGGTGGGGCGCCTCCAGAGCCGGACACCTCTTACCTGAGCCCACGACTGTGGCGACGGCGGCGAGCGCGAGAAGAGTCCTCATACTTGCTTCGGAGGTCCGGTGGGATATTTACGGGGGTCCTAGGAAGGGTTTGTGGGGGGCGGGTGTGTTGTGGGTGAGAGCAACGGGTGTGCTGAGCGCGCTCTGAGGGGGGTTCCAAGTCCAGTCACCTCCACCGTCACCGGCACACTGAACACTGGGTGCCAGGCGTCGGCTGCTGCTGCTGCTGCTGTCTGCCTGCTTGCCTGGGTGGGGGCGCTGTTGCTTAATCCACCTTCCTCATTTGACCATATTACTGCTATGATACTACCAAGCTAATGGGGGAGTTGCATGCACTACGTGTTCATGAGAATAACTTGTGTGGCACTGGTGGCACCGAGGGAGGGCCCTACCGGGAAGGGTTGCCTGCGTCAGTTTTATTGGCCTATTGTGTGACTTTGAGAGGCTGGCACACGCCAGGTCTCGCTGGTTCTGCTTTGGATGCGAGACTCGCTCAGTCAGCCAAGTCGTTGTATGGCCCATACCGGTTTGGCGCTGATTTTCGGAACTAACACTAAGAGAAAATCATGTTAAGCTGAAGTTTGGAAAGCAACTAAACTAGTGATGGTGTGAATACAGCTTTCCTAGACTAGGGGTTGTGGTGAACCTCTAGTGCATGGTGCCGGGGGTTTCCCAAAACCCATCACACGAATGGTGGAATTTCCAGGTATTGGTGAGGAAGCCGTAGTAGAGGTGGGCGCCACAGACAACCACAGTATTTCTCCAGTTGACTTGTTATTGCCTGCAACGATGTTGGTACAAACGTCAGCCAGTAACACTCCTTTATACCACGAGTGTGTATCTTATCAATGACGCATGATACACGCCAGGCACACACTGGCAACTCGCGGGGTATTTTTTGCCCGGAGGTAAACACGGCTTTATCTCACTACACTGATAATTGTAGTGAGATGAGTGCAATTGATGCCTCCTACATATGATCTCACAACCTTGATGAATAAAACTGTTACATCTTATTTACTGTCTCACTAAACTGATGAATATAAATGATATAGCCAATTTGTTATCTCATTATATTGATTATTGCAGTCCATACAACCTATCTATTATCTCACTATATAGACGAGTGTAGCTGATGCAAACTATCTGTCATCATTTCGTAGATAACAAAATTAGAGGAAGAAGAGGAGCTCGTGCGTACAAGACCAAAAGGGGTCAAATATTTTGGCAGTCTTCGAATTATGTAAATTAATTTCTGCATTTAAGTGTTTATTCCTCTCTACTGACGGATGCGTTTCAGAGGAATGAACTTAAACTACTTGTGGGACGAATACTTTAACCTCGTGTGTCTTTCTGTGTCTTTGTTTATGTCCTCACTGATTTGGTAGTACAGGTCGAGCCTCAACACCTAACCACCGTCTTTCGTAAAGTTCATAGACCATCATTACTGGTTTCTGGTCTTTTGGGTCCTATCATACGCACTCTTAAATCAGTGTGTGGAGCTGGCTTGCAAAACAGCCACATTCACTTCATCCCACTTCCTAATAACTTCAGACTGAAAAATACTTTTGAAATTCTTTGCAACTCCTCAGTGTTTATAGATTCCATCTGCCCCTTAGTTGTTTATGTAGCTACTCGTTTGCAGTTACATATGTGTTTACAGGAATTAAGCTTAGACCGTCGTGTACGGTCACATATATCAAAATTTTCGGCTTAATATATAATTTTTTTTGTAATATGAAGAAAGAGACCCAAGCTGGAGAAAGAGCATTTAAAACACTTTGCTTTGTGTAGAGCTTTATCAAGTCATGACTTGTTAAAGCTCAACACAGTGAAGCACTGCAGCATAAATTTAGCCTTGCACCTCTACTTGTGTATTTCTCGTCATACTTGTTAGCAGTTCAGTATTTCATCCAACTTTAGTAATAGGTGATGCACTTGCAACATACATACTCAACGACGTCATTTTTCTCATCAGCAAAATGCAAAGATGCATTTCATGTAACTTTATCTTACTTCACGTCCTCTGCAACTTAAGCACGAATCCTCTCGCAGATTGTTGTGGTGGTGGTGGCTTAGTATCCCTCTATCGTTATATTACTGGCATACAATACCGGAAAAAAAATTTATAAGACGTAAGTGCAACAGCTGGGTCTGTTTATCAACGACATGTTCCGCCTGCGCAACAGGTTTCTTCAGTCGAATACAGAGGTGACAAAATATTTGTCTGCTGAGCAGGCAAAACGTTTCGACAATAAAGAGATCGATCTCACTATTGCGTATATATCTTGCACATCTATTTTACATGTCTGCGAGTCTCACACACCAACAACCTGGTTGACCAGGCCTTCCGACAGGGAAGCCTGCTATCTCAGGCCATATTGTTATTATTATTATTAGTAGTAGTAGTAGTAGTAATAGTAGTAGGTACCTACTGTACTGTCAGTCGACAAACACCCAGGTACCCACTTTACTGTCGACTAACACCCAGGTACCCACATTAATAATAATAATAATAATAATAATAATAATAATAATAATAATAATAATAATAATAATAATAATAATAATAATAATAATAATAATAATAATAATAATAATATATTTATTTCTACAAGTACATGATAAGGTATACAGGCCTAGCAGACAACAGTGACATACTACTATATAGAAAGCCGCTTGTTATGCTGAGCATTTCAGGAAAATTAGGCCAATTTTGTAAGTAAGTAAGTAAAGTTTATTTCTTTGTAAAGGTTACAAAGTATAATTACAATTTTGATTTGCTAAGTACAAAGATAGCCACTTTACACTTGTTGTCTGTGTCTACCTAGCACTAAGTAGGTAGGTACCTGGGTGTTAGTCTAGTTTGGTAAGTAAGTAAATAAGTTTATTTAGGTACATTTTTATTCAGTTTTATGGATGATCACAGTTATCTTACAATACCTAAGACACCCCTGGAAAAATATCCACCGGTGCAAATTTTCTCAAAGTGCAACGAGAGAAAACGAAGAAAAACGATGCATTGAACAACGGTATATCATCAATATAAGCAAAGTAAGTAAGAGATAAGAAGAAAATAAAAAAGTAAGTTCATTTAAGCAGAGGTAAGTAAGTTTATTTAGATACAGGTACACATAAGTACAAATATCATACAGAGTAACACACATGTATAATTAACTAGGATAACCCATAAAAATTATATTCGGCTGCATAGGAGACTTTTATGTGGATTATTAATACCAGAGAAATTGCTTTTCGATTGAGCTATAAGCGAGAGGTAAGAAAGGGTAAGTGATCTGAATATTTTAGGTGTGTTTTGTAATTAGTGAGAGAGTTAGTAACCCAGGAAAACCCAAGAAAGCCAAGCAGTTTAGTTAGTTTAATATGTTTATTATGCACCCCATACCCATCCTGTGGGCGGTAGTCAAAAGATTACAGAGGTACATAATTGGTCCAGGGACTGGACTCCAAAGTTTTGATAGCTGAGCAAGTTACAGAGGTAATGAACTCACAATTTACAAAGGTAATGAACTCACAATTTACAAAGGTAATGAACTCACAATTTACAAAGGTAATGAACTCACAATTTACAAAGGTAATGAACTCTCAATTTACAAAGGTAATGAACTCCAGGTAGGTCTGGTCACAAGTGTGATTTATTTCTGACTTTCATTGGTTCTTTTATCCAGGATGTGAGGCACAACAATCCCGGCACCTACACCGCTTACAAAAGACAGGTGAAAAACCTTAAGTTTCTATAGTGTTGTATACAATTGACATGGGATTAACTGACATGTTTAATGTACTTTATAGAAAGTTCCTTTTTGTGTTAGTTAGTTAGTTAAAGATTAGCCGGTATTCTCCCGGCCCGGGCCTTTTCCAAGTGGTGGCCCGGCCTTGGCTCCCTCTTTAGGGAGTGTCTGAGACCTAAGTCTCCCATGGGAGGAGGCACAAGTACCTCCTCATCTTTGGGACCAACTGTCCCCAGGCCTAGCCACAAGCTAGGCCTCTCTGGTCTGCCATCCCCACACCAAGGGGGCTAATGGGAATGACAGTCTTATGAGCTAAAGGCTCGGGCTCAGGCACCTACCCTACCCTAGAAAGTTAGGCATGGTGTCGATCTTTTGTGCAAAGAATTTCGGGCAGTTTTAAAAAGAACATTTCTTAAATAACGTTAGTTTACTAGAATGCTATAGTTTATTATTATTATTATTATTATTATTATTATTATTATTATTATTATTATTATTATTATTATTATTATTATTATTATTATTATTATTATCATCATAACTAAGTTTTTACTTTTAATATAACAGTTTGGCTGATGATTTATAATATTTTGAAATTTAATGTAATAATCTCATATAACATTTGTAGTAGTGAACACTGAGGGAAAACATATTTTTGGATAGTACATATACTACTGAAATATATTGATAAAAGTGAGAACGTCAGTATAAATACTAATATGATTTGGATCAAGATGGCTGCTTTCGATAAACTGAGCTTGAACATAAGTAGAGTTTAGGCCGGATTTAGAGAGTTCTTATAAAAAATTTTTTAAAGCTGGTATCAAATGGGAAACTTTTTGCATCTTCTGGGAGGGAGTTCCCAATTTTAAAGCTTTTTTTATTTGCATGGAGTTCCTAGATGGGTTGGGTGAAACATGTGTTATATTAACGAGATACTCACTTTCATTGCATTTCTTGTCTTGTATTGTCTTGTTACAGTATTCTAGGAAGGTCGTTGGAAGTTTTTGCTTGGTTGATTAATGGGGTTTAAATCATTCTCATCATATATATACACTGACATAAATACACTTTCCAGTGTGGAATAAACCTTGGTAATAAATACCGACAAGTTGGTTTAGAAAGACACGTAAGCAAACACTATAACATATTTATTAGAAAACGTTTCGGTCCTGGGACCTTGATCACTTCAAGGTCCCAGGACGAAACGTTTTCTAATAAATATGTTATAGTGTTTGCTTACGTGTCTTTCTAAACCAACTTTCCAGTGTATATATCCTTATGTCAATAATATTCCTGAGTCTTGTTGCAATATTTTAGGACAGTCTTTGGAAGTTATTTATTTATTTATTAATTTATTAATTTATTTATTTATTTATTTATTAATTTATTAATTAAATTTATTTATTTATTTATTAATTTATTTATTTATTGTGTCTATAATACTTCCAGATTCCGGCTCCTATGTCTGCAGTGTTATTGTTACGTTTATTTAGTTTTATCTTTTTTTCTAGAATTCTAGTTTAAAGGTAAATCAAATTTGACGCTGCAACTCTACCTACATCTTCCCTTCCACCCTTTCTCCTTCCCAGTTTTCTGTCCCACTTCCTCAACCTCCTATCCCACTTCCCAACCTTCCTAACCAACTATCCCTCTTCCCAACCGTCTGTCCCACTTCCAAGCCTTCCTCCCACTTCCTAACTCGGCTCCCAACTCCCTCACTCTCCCTCTCAGGGCGCTGCCGGCCTAGTGGAAAATCTGGTTTTGCATACACAATGCATTGTAAAAAAATTAAAAATGGAATGTAGATATACACATTATATTTACTTTTTATTTGTTTATTGTGTGTATTATGAATATCTATGTAAATGTAATTTGCAAATAACTAAAAATATTAATCATTGCATTTTTATTATTACAATAATAATTATCATCATCATCATCTTATTATTAGTAGTATTATTAATTATTATTAAAGATTCTCCGGTATTCTGCCGGCCCGGGCCTTTTCCAAGTGGTGGCCCGGCCTTGGCTCCTTGTCTAGGGAGTATATGAGACCTAA